TGAGATCGTTTGTGAGATCAATTGTAGCGACACGCAGCGTCTTTGTTGTTACGAATAAGCATTAAAAATACTCGATCAATTTAATATCACAGACTCATAGAACACCAGCGTTAAGTAAATTTATATTTACTTTTTCAATCCATCCATACCATGTCCAATCATACCATCCAAGTCCAATCAATTATTTCAACATAGGCCGACTATGTTAAAAGCCTTTAAATTAAAACTTTCAACGTCTGATGTATCGTCCATGAGCAACGGTTTTTTTTAATGTGAGAAAGGAAGAAGGAAAGAATTCCTTAATTCTCTTGGCGTCGGCAAGACATCTCCTGTGGATTGTAGTCTTTCTGTTTCTCCTGAAGATATAAACATTCATTTTGTCTCTGCTCCGATATTAGACCCTACTATCCGTACTCGAACAATTGATTATCTATCTTCCATTCAGTTCCCACACATTCCAATTTTTAATTTTTCTTCTGTTGATGAAGATGACATTCAAAAAACTATCCTGGCAATCAATCTAAAGCTGTGGGTTGTGATAATGTAGTAGGGTTATGATAGGCCATGTAATGGATTACCTCATCCCTGCAGTTGCACATATTGTCAATTTTTCCCTCGACTCAGGTCACTACCCAATGCTTTGGAAAAGGGCATACGTGCGACCCCTTCCTAAAGTACCTAATCCTACAACTTCCCAATCACTTTCGTCCTATTTCCATTTTACCTTTCCTTTCTAAAGTCTTAGAAGCCTGTGTTCATAAGCAACTCTCTACGTTTATTTATAGCAATAACCTACTGAGCACTTATCAGTCCGGGTTTCGTTCTGGACACAGCACCACAACTGCGCTAATTAAAGTCACAGATGACATTAGGCTTGGAATGGAAAATCAGAAAGTCACAGTATTGGTGCTTGTCGACTTCTCTAACGCTTTCAACACAGTTGATCACGATATCCTCCTCGCCATTTTTTCCCGCTTAAATTTTGCGCCCACAGTTTTGGATTGGTTTTCTTCGTATCTTCGTGGGCGCCAGCAATCGGTCCATATAGGGCAAGAGTCTTCTCAATGGGCTGGTCTAGAATCTGGCGTTCCGCAAGGCGGTATACTTTCTCCCTTAATTTTCTCTGTTTTCATAAACTCCATCACTTCCTGTATTGATTGCTCGTACCATCTATACGCCGACGACTTGCAAATTTACGTACAAACAGATGTTGAGGGGCTACATAACGCAATTGCTAAAATAAATTCTAACTTAAATGCTATTTACGATTGGTCGTCACGATTTGGAGTGTCAGTTAACCCTATGAAGTGCCAAGCCATGCTAGCTGGCAGCTCTAGATTGTTGTCCAAAATTAACTACGCAAGCCTACCTGCTGTCTATTATAACAATAAAATAATTTCACTCTCGCAATCTGTAAAAAACCTAGGTCTCTATATGGACAGTACAATGAGCTGGGGAGTACATGTCACAGAAGTCAGCCGTAAAATTTATGCAGCCTTTCGAACCCTTTACCGGTTGAAGAATTTTCTTCCCTTTAAGACCAAGCTAATGCTTGTTCAGACGCTTATATTACCTATAATTGATTACGCAGATGTGTGTTACCCAGACTTAAACAAAGTACTTCTTAACAAGCTGGAGCGCCTTTACAACAACTGTATCAGATTTATTTTCAATCTTCGTAAATATGATCATACCAGTCATTATCGCACACGTCTTAAGTGGCTTACTATTCAACAAAGACGTAACTATAGAATTTTGCTTTCACTTTTCTCAATTTAAACGATTGAGCTTCTCCGTCTTATCTTAAGGATAAATTTCAATACCTCTCTCAATCTAATGAAAGACATCTTCGTTCTTCATCTAATCTAAAGATTAAAATTCCTCTCCACGCCACTACTTTCTTTGGTAAATCTTTTACCGTTCAGGCTGCACTGCTCTGGAACTCCTTACCTGAAGACATTCGAAGAGCACCTAGCAGAACCTCGTTTAAGCGGTTAGTACGAGACTATTACTTAAAGAAGAATATCATGAACTAGTGAAGTGAATGTTGTCGTTAATTTTTATACGCGCCCGTGTGTGTGTGTGTGTGTGTGTGTGTGTGTGTGTATGTATATATCAAATATATATGCTATATATGTTCATATTTATTTATTATTATAGAGTAGATATAAATATTAAGGCAAAGTTTAAAAGTTTTTACATTATGTAAGTATTTGCATTTTTTAATTTATTAATTAGTGTTTATGTTCTTTTTTTACCTTATTGCACCTACCACGATCTCTCTCCACGCCCCGGGTTGACTGGGAGAGAATGCCCAAATGGCATTAAGTCCGCCCTTTGTAATCCTTTTTTAAGGTTTTGCAATAAAGCATAAATAAATAAATAAATAAGGTGGCAAGGGATAACCGTTGCCTATGGACATTTGCAACACCCGCAGGGTTGCAGATGAGTTGAGTTGTCACCTTTTAATGAAGTGGACAGTGATTATCTCTTATCCTTTAAACGAGCAATTCTTGTGTATATATATATATAATCGGTCCTCCAGAGACTTTACTATTAAATTAGCAGTTTGCTCTTTTGCCAACTTTTAAGGAAAACAGTGTTAGAGTAGTTGAGAAATTACCTCGTTTTAGTCAAAACGGCATGGACCAGTGAGTTTACCCCTTTCATATACCTTGGTGTATTATTTGCACAATATAAAACAAAAAATCCTACATGGCGTAGGAGAGTAGCTTCACGATTTGCCTAGATGAGGTTTTAATAGTTCGGCGAAAAATGGACCAATTATACCTTATTACCTTCTTGCGGATGTTATAGCTTTTGAGAGCATTAACATTGTAGTACTAATTAACCAAAAACGCGGTTGTCACTATCATCTTACCTTTTTTATGGAAAGTCTTGTACGGCCTACTCAAATTTTTTGATGACTCCGTGGCGCAGTTGCCAAGGTATTGGTTTCGGCGTCGGGGGTAGTGGGTTCGATTCCCACACGGGACAACTGTTTTTGTGACCCACAGATAGTTGTTTCGCATGTTTGTCCACGTGCAATTAATGTTTGTGAAACGTCCTTACAACACAGGATAATGTAATGTAAAAATGTTCAGCCATTATAACCCATTGCAAAACACCGCATATCTAATTAAAATGTAAAATAAAAATATGTAAATCCTTTGAAGTGCTCCAGAATACCAAAGCACATTGTTACATTTATCGCAGAAATTCGCTTTGTATTCATAATTAATTGCAGTAGTACAAAGTTATAATTTATCTGCGTACCACGTGTTATCGGGTCATCTTTTTTCGAGTATAAACGTAAATCACGAAAGCCAGCGCTTCTGCGGTCGCCCCACAGAGGGTCTTTTTTCTTAGCTCCCGAAAGTATAATGTTAAATATTAGGGTTTTTTTTTTTTTTTTTTTTTTTTTTTTCACTTTTTACGTTTTTCATTCGTTTACTGCTTGGACTAAAATGCATTTGATCTTTTATAATGCGTTATAACGTGGCAGAATTACAAATAATAGTAGGAAAGGATTTAAAAAAGATATTTAGTAAAAATGTTGTCTTCAATAATTATAATCGTTTTATTATGTCTGTTGTTAAGGGATAACCGCCGCCCAATAACATTTGCAAAACTCGTAGGGTTTAGATTTTATTAAAGTTCCATGTACCTCATTCACCAGATGAAACGCTGAAGTATAACACTCGTGGTATTACCCGGACAGCCTGCCCATTTGTGCAACAACGAAGACTGTAGCGTGGCCCTTCAAAAGTTACTTTAGTTTACATTTGCAAAAGTGCCTCGCTCAAACCTCTATATCCTTTATACACAAATATTAGACATCCAACTACCCTAAAGCTTTATTAATATACAATTTTTCCAATTCATTTATCGGCGATTAGTCGATAGGCAGCAAATAGCGTTAAATTGGTTAATGAAAGACAATTATAGCTAGTGGGACGAAATGGCCGGCTGCGCGTTGTATAATCGACGTTCTCGTTACGTTTTTTTTTATTAGGATTGACATGGGAAGACAGCAGACGCGGCTTGGCGCAATTCACAAGCGATAGCGATTTGCAATTCGCAACAATCGATTTTTTTAAGAAACTCGTCAATATCGCCATCCCATTAAGTAGATGGCTGAAACCGCTCAAGATGATAAATACACAGCCTCTAATAGAACGTACTGACTCTTGCCTTAAAGACGTTAGACGGTACATTCAAGCGGAAAGACAGAATTTGTCTCTAAACCTGTGTATTAACTGTTAATAGTCTATTAATGTTATAACTAATAGGAAAACTAGTAATATTGCAATTTTTACTAATTTATCATTTTTCTCCTTAATTTTATTTACTGACTACTTAATTTTAGATAGACCAGCTTTATCTAGATAAAGCTTCTCGAAATGTTTAAATATGTTTATTAATCATAAATAAACTTATCCAAGACGCTTTCTCTTAACATTTGAACATGAACTTTAGCCACGTAAGTCACGTCTAAATCAAATAACGCCTCTCATTGAAAGCAATCGCAAAGTTCGTTACGTTCGATCGTTTTCGACACTGTTATTGTTATTGATATGTCACATGTCATATGAGATCGTCATTGTCCGCTTTTAGTTATTAATAAAATTCGTTATGCGGGCCAACGGGGGTTATTAAAATGTTATCATTTGATGTGAAAGAAGCTTTCATAGTGTTAGTCCTATAGCAATTTCTTTCTCATCCAACAAAGCAGATAGCATAATAGATCACTGATCACGGTAACACCACATTGACAAGATCTGAGGTCCTTATCCAAGATGGATTTTTACAATATAAGGAGTAGAAGAAATATGCCCATTGAATATGTTTTATAAAAATAAATATTAATATAAAACAAACTTTAGGTGTAAAAGCAGTATTATTTTTTTATTTAATATACATGTACCTCGAAACTTCACCATTTAATTGAAATAAGTATTGTATGAACGTAGTGTATTAATTTCGATTATTTTCCACAGACATAAGGAAGCAATTCCCGATGTCTCCATCGCCGACTTCCGTGGAGGCTGGATTGACGGCTTCACTACGGTGCTCCCCACCAGAAGCGGTTCCTCCACCGAGAGTCTCCTGGCTGAAGCACGGCACGCCGCTGCAGCAAGACCACAACATCGTGATCTCCGCCGAAGGCAACCTGGTTATATCCAGGGCTAGCCTACAGGTAATTGCGTAATATATTTTTGGGCGTCTATCATTATTGAATATACACCGGGAACGTTTTTCTATTTTTACGGGCTTCGACTATGGTTTTTACATTTCGAATTATCATCATCATCATAACTTCATCCTGTTTGAGTCCACTGAACCTATATAATATAGGCCTTAACCACCTCGAACCGCGATCATGAGCCATCGACTTCCCGCACACTTGCACAGGTCGTCACCCCATCTAGTGGGAGGTCGTTCTACACTACGACTTCCGCTCACTTTTCATCTACTTTTTTCATTTCTAGAAATTCCAATATTCAAACAGAAATCCTGTATGAAAAGAAGAAAAAATAAAAATGAAGCCAATTAATTAAACGTATAAAATCAGCACGCGTCGTATGTTGTATAAGGGACTGAAACGTAATGCAAAATTATAGATACGAAGAAGACTGGCAATACAGAATAATGTGGAATAAATTTATTTTATGGATATTGTCGAGTTTAATTTTGGTTTCTTGGTTTCATAAGCATTAAACCATAGCTTTTATTTTTATATATATTTTTTAAAAATACTATTAAACCACTTTAAAATATAGATCCATTACTTAGTCTTTCATCTTAAATACAACATGAGATCCAAGTGCGAATTAAGAATCTTTTTATTTGCCTATTAAAAGATAAATAAACTCAATGAATGTTCTATACGAGGCTATATGTAAGGAATTTACGCTATGGTTCACTAATTAAAATTGACACGTGACACACCAGACCATTGCTCATATCCCGGTATGAACTTACCCTCATTCACGGTACTGTTTTTTGACAGGCAGCTGTACATTATGATTGATAACTTATTTTTTATATTTCGTTCTATTATTTTCTACAAAAGACAACATTAATACGCAGTACATACGACTATCTAACGAATTATTTATTTATAAAAAAATTGATAACACAGTGTCAGCGAAATCTTGATAGACCCTGTTAAATGATGTGATTATGTTATGTATAATATTCTAACCAATAATGGTACTTTAGGCAAATAAAACAAATGAACACTTCAACGAATCTGATCTTGAAATGTGTGTGTCGGCATTGACTGAGAATCACATGTTTGTCACATCTTATGCGCAATCCTTTAATCTTTCCCGTCTTTGTCCATAATTTAATGGACACTAAATCATTATAACGCTCCGATTATCATTAATGAAACCACGAACCTAAACAATGGGTACAGTTTGAGGCGTTGTAACCACGTGTCGTATTTGGGCCTCGCGTGTTTTGCTCTTAGTTTTAAGCCGATGAGTTTCAATAAAGGGCATGCTCAAGCGAAACCTGTTTTTAAATCAGCATACAAAAGGACTTTAGTCCCTTATCCCGACGAATATTGGGTTAGTCATCTTGTTATTAGTCACTTCCTATTCAAAGCGCGTTTTGTTTTTTTTATTTGGCGACACATAATCGGATTTTATTAACGTCAAGAACTGTTGCGAGTTTTCAAACCGAATGACGAGTGAGTTACTTTGATTTCCTGTCGCAACTCATCTAAATTCCCTTTATTGAAATGGCATTTACACGTTATTGCATCCTTTGATTTAAGACACAAATTTGTTTAACAATATAGCAAAAAAAAATAGATATTTCAAGACATATCACAACGTCAACTAGTCCATACTAAGCAAAGCTAAGAATCTATCAAGAATCTAAGAGTTTATCATACGGACTCATAGATATGAGTAGGTATGATAAACATACATAAATATATTATAAAATACATAGATAAAATCAACGACTAAAGAACCACAATGTTTGTTACACAATGTTTAGTCCAGCGCAAGAGGCAGACTTTCTACTTACTTATCCAATAGACCGATTGAGTATTATTGCACTGTCAATTTCGTCACAAAACTATTAAAAGCTTACGATAATAGCATCGTATGTATACATACAGACGAAATAATTCCGCCTTTTTGGAAAATGACTGATGTCGAATGCCGTTTCCAATTTAATAACGCGAACGAGTGTAATTTCGAAATATCATTTCGAAATATCGCGATGAGCAACCGAGCAATTAGTCGAAATCGCTTTCCCTATAGCGCCATGTGCCCCGTTGAGATTTAAATTAGATTACGGCGACGTCAATCCTTGCCTCCTTACCCCAACGCGTAGCCATCAACGGGCGGGATCGCGACAACTTGTCGCAAATTGTTTATTTTATCTCGGAGCGGCTGCGACCAATTAGTCGCGCTGGACTGACGTTTATTAATTGCGACGCGAGCCACCGTTGCTTGGTGCTTTTGCCGCGCTCTTTCATACCGCGCTTTGGCGAAAGAGCTGATTTTTAGTCCGGTTACTCACTGCTGTCCGATTACTTCGCTTCGAACTACAATAGTGAATTATCATTACGCAAAGAAAGGCGTCCGTACCGAATTTCTCTCTATACTGTTCTGCTGTTGCAACATATAACATGGATGCAAGGCCTTATGCCAGCTACAGTATACATCATCAAATAAATGTAAATTGAGTGTTCAAACTTAGTTTTGTTTGTTTTTTCTTTTGTCGATACTTTTCTCACGACTTCCGCTATTTAAGATTTGTATAAGACTGTAATCATGACCACATTATATTAAATTGTCTTTGGTGTTTTCGTATGAATTTATCAAACTGAATTTCCCTTTCGATAAGCTAAAACTTAAAGTGAAATAAAAACTAATAATATCAAATGCAAAGTTTTACGATAAATTATATAGTATACATAAACATGAGTTTAAGATGTACGGCCCGAGGATATCGGACACTTGGCTCGGCCCAGAACACGACCACTGGCGATTCCGTGGCCCAGAGCAACCACGGAATCGCCAGTGTCTCATACCGTATCCGGTTTCCGCTACATGGCATTTACTAATTAGCCACTAAAGCCAGACACGGATTAATTGCAGCCACTGTCACTCGCGTCTCCCTCATTGTAGCGCTCCGCAACATTATCCCGGAGCACAAAGGTGTCCGGGGCGTTCTTAATTAAATGTAATGTTTATAATCATGAGTTGCACGCGTCGTTTAAATTAATGGACACACCCTTTGTGATTTAAAGGGGTCTCCGGTGGCTTTAACGCGGCGTTTTAAAACTGCGCTACTTGTTGATTACCGCTGCGAGTTTCTCCCATCTCGGCCGCGTTTTGAATTTCGTTCGGTTAGTTTTTCGCTGTCTATTTCAGAAGTGGAAATTAGTTTGAGGAAAATCTCTTTGGAGTACTCATTTAAATAGTATCTGAATAATTGCAGTGTGCATAACCTGTGTATTAAGTTGTGTTGAATCAAAATTAATGAAATCATATATCACTTTATCTCTCTCTCTCTCTCTCTCTCTCTCTATCTATCTATCTATCTATCTATCTATCTATCTCGTTCAATATTGAATTCTATAGAAAATATTAAAAGATAATTATGCTTTTAGTATGTTTCTAATTGTTCTATGTCATGTGTTAAATAGGTTTTACCTTATCTGATTTACAACTTCCTAATGCTCAACCATTACAAATAAGCGAAACAGGAACTATGACCTAGGTTTACGGTGGTGACGTGAGCGCTGGGATATGGGATTATCTTAGACGCCCATTAATGATTCAAAATGTCCGCCATTAGTTATTGACACGATATTATCTGCGCATAAATTTCAATAGCTATTATAATTACAAAATGGTCGCAATTCCGCAAAATCTCATGAAGTCACATTATTTTTTTTTTATTTTTTATTTTTTTGTTTCAATTATAATATTATTCAATTATATTATTATTATAATATAAAGTGGGGTTCAAGATAAACGGACTACATGATCAAATAAGAGGAATTTTACGGTGGTAGGGCCACGCAGCAGCCTCGGCTGTTGCACGAATGGGTAGGCCCGTCCGGGTAAGTACCACGACCTCACAGAAGACCGGCGTAAAGTGGAAGTATGACAAATACTTTCGCGTTTCGTCTGGTGAGTGAGGTAGCCGGAGCCCAATTTTCAAAAGTTTGTCAACGCATCTGTAACCCTCGAGTGTAGCAGATGTCCATGGGCGGCGGTATTCACTTAACATCAGGTGAACCGTCTGCTCGTTTGACAACTTTTTCGCATAAAAAAAAAAAAAAAAAAAAAAATAAGAGAACGTACGTAAATACTGTACGAAATTGATTTACTCAAAACCACAAGCTTACGCAACAGTTTCCGGTTTCCGACCGGAAGTAACTCGGACTGTAAAATGAACTATCAGTTAGAAACGACATTTAACTAATTCGACTCTTCCTGTGCGGTGTTTTATGTGACATTATTTTTAGTTTTAATTGATTGATTAATTTTTATATTATCTAATAAACCTAATCCACGCGGCATGGTGCCAAGAATGCTAGCTTGCTAGAATGGTTATGCTTAACCTTTGAGCGAGAAAAGAACCAGCTTACCAAAGGTTAAGCATAACTATTCAGCGAGGAATTGCAGCTAGCGTTCTTGGCACCATGCCGCGTGGATTAGGTTTATTAGATAATATGTAATTTTAGATAGATTTAATCTTGTAAATATTAGATCAATAAAGCTTGTAAATATTTAAAAAAAATGTTTTTTTAATGTGAAAAATTGGCAAGCCTCCACCTTATATTAAGTGATTACCAACACCCGTGGACATCTTTAACTCCTGACAGCTTGCAGATGCGATGACAGTCACTATAAAAGTGGGCCCCGATTACCTCACTCACCAGATGTGTGTTCTGTGAGGCCCATTCGAGTAAGTTCCAATTACCCGAATGGGGCAACCCATTCTTGCAACACCAGACCCTGCTTCGTCGTCCTATCACAGCGATACATTCGATCTAACTCGTATAAAAACCTTCCGTGAGCCGTGATAGCTCATTGTCCGCGCGCTCGCTTTTAATTCAATGTACTCGAGCCCGAATTCGATCCCCGGTGCCGGCACTAATGAAATAATGGTCAATGTTAAGTGCTGACTTATCACGTGCTCAGCAGGGAAGGAAAATATCGTGAGGAAACCTATCGATTTTGGAAATAGAAAAGAAAATATTTCAGAGATATGTAAATTCGCATTGGGGTCGCGTGGTGGAATATGCCCTAATACCCTCTGTATAGAGAAGGTTTCTGCCCAGCAGTGGGTCGTACATAGGCTGTATATATACATTACTTTGAAAACCTATAATTAATTTACTATAATTGAATAAAAAACAAAATGTAAACAAAGCTTGTTTGACACGAATTCATGATTACACGCTAAGGACTTGCCCCCATTCCAGTGTTGTTTCGTTGCGAGTACTCCTAACAGGCGCTTTTATTTTATTACCCGCAAACAAATACCTGTCGTGATAATTGGCGATTACATGGATCCCTTTGTTCGCAGGACATGGCGAACTACAGCTGCGTGGCTGAAAATATAGCTGGCAAGAGAATTTCTGAGCCCGCTCTATTGACGGTGTACGGTAAGTTTGTTTTATAAAACAAAAGCTTTATGAGAGAGTTGTAAATACATTTTTGCATGTCGTGCAAGCCTTTTATACCGGAAAAATGCTAATTATTTTTTAAATATTTTTAATGTGCCGCGGTATCGCACGAGTAGACAGATACGAGTACATATATTTATTAGAAAATTAATACGTTTTTCATTCAATGAAATCCAAAGTATTAACGGTTGTAAACAATCTCACAAACATGTCGCTTTTCCCTCGTTTATCTGAACAGCTCATGTTAGTGTAGAATTACATAGATTTTCATAAAAGAAAAACCAAAATTTCACTCCTGTAAGTTTACAAAACTACAACCCCTTGTATGTAAACAATGATAAATATATTTCTTCACAATACAAATTCAAAATATCTTTATTAAAATAGACGATATAAAATGCGACGATTCTAATGAAAAGAAGATCGAATTTTATGTAAAAATTAATATATAAGTTCGTAAGGTACCACCGGTTCGGAAAGCTTTTTCTGTTGAGAAGAAAGCAAAGCGGCGAAAAACCCAGCAGTTGCTCTTTTTCAAACATATCAGTTTACAGTATAAAATAATATTGCCGTTCATGAGCCTTTCAATAATTAATTCTCTAAAGAGAACAGAGAAACGTGAAAAAGAGCCGATTAATAATTATAATTCGCTCGCTCGGTTAGACGCTTTTCTTTGTACGTGCGATTATGACGCCCAACGCCGGTCATAATTCCTAATCGCACACCAATAAATCGGACGATAAGCGTGCAAGGAGGCACGGACAGTTTAATGCCTTCGCCTAACGAGACGTGGACGACGGTTTCGTTATTTCAGTCGCGATTTATCGGACGGCCGCGTTCGCTTAATGCTCATTTCAACCCCAGTTGTGCATAATAACTATCTTCACGTCAGCAAGATCAGAGGGCACGGGCCCGCGCAATTATGCGTCTGTGCGCCGGCGCATGGGAGGGTCATTAGTGACGCTGCATTCGCCCACGCCTTCGGAATATCGCGCCTCGCTAACTGATCACTATCGCCGCTACGACTTGAGTCTAATGCATCGAGACTTTACCGCGTCGTTGCTAAACAGCGAATGTGATTCAATAAACCCATAAAAAATTCACTTTTTTGTATTGCACTAATGCTAAAGCTTGAGATGGTGGACTAGCAACGGACTTTGAATTAATGAATTCAGCCACTAGTGTCCACTGTTGGGCTAAGGCCTCCTTCCATGTTTTCCACTCCTCCCTGCCGTTAAAAGACTTTAATAAGAAGAAAATATAAATGCATGATAATAGATCTTTAACATGTATATTAACTTACTACTATATTACACAGACAATTTAAAAAAAGTCCTCACGCTGAAATTTATCTTGTAGGGGTGATTTCCTTTACATTTGCATTACATTTCCTTTACATTTGCAGTTGTTTACGCGACCACACATTACTAAATGAAACTATATTTAAGTACTTTCGCATTTATTTTAATTTTATTTCCTTATGTTTCGAACCCTTTTCAGCGTTCGTGGTCACGGTACCGATTTCCATGGCCACGAACCATATGTAAACAGCATATAGTTTTATATGATAACAATACAATATTTGATAGGCCAAGCTGATATATGTAGGTTTGTTATACAAGTATATTAATTTTAATAAACCAGCAGTTCGGCCTGAATGATGCAATTCTGATACCTTTCCCATTCTCTCGATGAGATTCGAACTTTTAGGTAATGGTGTAGAAACGCGGCACGGGGAATTGCTTGTGTACACTGTCAATTCCGGCTTCAGAAACGAAGGCTCTAATTGGAATAGTTACTGCGGGTACGAGCTGAGACCAATTACGTTTATTAGAGGGCCCTAGGGCCCTTTGTGTTTGTTCTATGGCAATTGTGGCGCTTACATGCGAATTGGACAATATATCGTTGTTATCACGTCGGAGAGCGTCCGCAACTGCCTTCCACGGCGCGTATATTTCTACGCGCACTTTATTGCGTGCTGAGCAACAATCTGAACAAGTTTTTGATTCGAAAATGATTTCATTTACTTACATTCTCATTCTTTTTATACGCTTTACGTGTAGACGAATGACCTCTTCTTGCTGAATTTATATTTCTTAGCGTTAGCTAAAAATAGATTTTAAATCTTTTGAAGAAGTATATCACTATATGTTTTGTACTTGTTTAAAATTTTCTAGAGGCTAGAGCTACGGCGTCATAGAAGATCAGCGTAAAGTAGAAGTACCTTTGTATTTTATTGGAAATTAAACTAAAAGCCCATTCGTTTAAATGTTCGTAAAGCACCAATTCGTGTGGCAGTTGTATATTGACAGTGGTGTAATTTACTATCAGGTAGTAATATATAAGCTCGCTAACTACCTTCTCTCATAAAGAACTATTCACGGCTACAGAATAGATTGTATAGCCGTAAAGAATGTCTCCTGAACTTATGAATTTACGAGTTAGATCTGTCCTTACAATTTAATTGCGATACCTGATTGTATTTAAACGATGACCGTTTCCACATCCTCGTCTGGATCCATTAGCGCTATTTAAAGTGAGGCGCCTTCCACACCGCCGCTTTGTTTTCACATTTGTCGAGATATCGTTAATACGGATTCCGGCTTTAATAGATTTTGTCCGCGATCGCTGTCCAGGAGGAGATCTTTGTTTATGTTAACATCAGTTTAATGGGTCAATAACAAAACCCGAAAGCTAATGGGTGCTATTAATTTTTATAGTGGAGAAAATGCCTGGATTGAAGCCGCGGGTGGTCGTTCCGACCGTAATATTTCGGTATAAATTCATATACGGCACAAAAGGGCTCTCATGTTTTTAAACACTGATGGTTTGGACAGAGATAGATGGCGGTGTGCATTTTTCAACGTATTGAATAAATAAGGTGTAAGACGAAACAGTTAAGAAGCGATATGTGTTCAAATAATCTGATTAGGCGATACTGAGGTTAGAACTAGCGACCTCTTAGTGCTTAGGCGTTTGGATTTAATTTGGCTTTTTACCAACTAAAGGAGGTCAACAAAAATTAAAGTTTAATTGCTTTTCGTCGGAAGCAGTGAGAGCAGTTGATCGGTTTCCAATAAAATTTTAATGATTTCGTGAAAGCATTCCGCTTTATACAAAAACATTATACAAAAATTTGTAATTTGCAGGTTGTTCTTTTCACTAAAATGGGATAATTTTAATGTTACTGTTTTAATTTATTCAATTTAATATATTATGGAAGCATTAACGGAAAAAAGCCATTGACTTGAGAAAAGCTGGCGAAATAATCTCAGCTGGACAATTTTTCCCCATTATTTAAAAAAAAAACACGTCTACAATATCATTATGTGCCCGTATATATAAATAAAGATAAAAACAAAACTGTCTGATTGATACTGACTTGCCCAAGAGTGGGACATGTATAGGCTGTAACTTTACTTTTTTACTTCTTTAAAACATTTTCAGAACATATTAAATTTTTCTGTTCCGTCCTAACCGCCCACAAATTAACACTAGGAATTCTATAGATTGCAGAATTTTAAGCATAGATATGTAAATTATTTTTAAATACGAAGTTATTTATTTTTTTAATACTAAAGAATTATTATATATTTATTTAATACTAAAGAATTATCTGAAATGTTTAGACATTTTTTAGACGTCCCATGTGTACCATCGAAGTTGCAACGAAGAAAAATCGTCTCCATTAATAATAATTTCAATCCCGAAGCTCAAGGCACTTTGGGCAACATGTGGCGTAGCTGTGAAATCTTACAATTTATAACCGTTAAGATAATGTAACACTCTCCATTACCAGTAATTTGGGGAAGTATCGGCTATTATACAACATTTTACGATACCCTCAAGATGCCCACTGAATTAGGAGAAATTATTATGGGAAGATTATTGAGCACGGCTCGGCGGTCGTAGAATGATTTTACTTTGAATTGACTAAAAATGTGTGCTTTTGCACTTTTGGAAGACGGAGAGTGAAATACTTTAGTAAAAGTAGATCTTCCTTGATGATAATGTCTCAGGTTTATGGTTTTATATGCTCTCATACCTCAATTGAAAAGTGTCATAATAAGCCAATATTTTAAACGTCGTTAAAAAAGTAATATTTTTTTAGTAAGGACAATGAACTAGAAACTGTTTTTTCGTCTTAAAAAATTAAACACAGAAACAAACTTCAATGAAAGATTACGCGGACAAATGATAAAAATAAAAATGTATTAAAATTAAAACTTCAATGGCATATAATTCCAAAATGTTATATCTATACGTACGTATGTGTCATCGGAGAAATGCACAGCTTTCAGTCCAAAGATTATTCCAACAATGTCTATAATCAAACATTTAAGTGGTATAACGTTATAGACAAAAAGGGACATTCTCATGCAACGTACAGCGTCGTAATAAAATATTTATAAACTTCACGGCTAAATCAGAAAACGGTCTGCAAAAACACAATGAAAGAGGCAATGTAATGCAATTTAATGAATACTGCGGTGAGGGAATTTATTTTCGAATATCAACTGAGCGGTGACTCATTCTAGAGTCTTATTACACGAGTGGTAAAAGCGAAAGGCGTGCCATATCTTGTTGCAAAGTACTACTATTTTGTATGCCGCGATGAGGTTCGACTTCCGTTAGTAATCGGCAATAGTGGTCAGAATCGAATGCCCTTTATCGCTAATCATGTAGTTTCTATACCATTAGCACCAAGTTTCGTGGGCTCAATTCCAATACGGCCCAATAATTTGTGTGAACTACAGATAATTTTTCCGGTTGTGGGTGTTCGGTTTCATGTAGGTTAAAGGCACGCGGCTGGCCTAAAAAAATCTAGCCAGTAACCGTTATTAAAAAAGGAAAAAAAAAGAAAAAGAATACATTGATAACATAATTTACAATTTTTGCCGACACCACCTAGGTGGGATAAGAACAGGAGAAACTCGAACACGTTTAACGAAAATATTCTTTTTAAATATGCTTGTATCTAGTTTCAAAAACAACATTAATGAAAACTAAATTTATTAAAGATACTTTCTTAGAATAGTTATCATGTAGCCGGTGCTTTTAACGTCGCAGTCGATCGGAGCATTAAACAGACAAGATTCAAATTCAACGGAGATTGACAATTGCGTAGCCTCAGATCGTTTCTTCTTCGTCTTTTCCTTAGACTCTTATTAAAGTAATCCATTCAGCCAATTATCGAAATAATGACCTATTTAGTGTTGCCTAATCTTTCGGACCCATCGCGCAAGCCTGGTTATGCTAGGCGGACGCGGCCTACCCAGGACACGCGACCTAGCATGTCCGCCACTAACATGCATGCGATCGCACGGAGCGATAGAAAAATATTCACCACTGTCCCCTGCGTCGTATGCCCATTACTTTTAGTTAGCTTGCCAATGGTACACGCATCGATATACTCTTTATGGCTTCATTATCTGATGCCTAGAATTGTGAAATCACTATTTGCTCCTGCCTTAGTTTAAGGTTCGTTCCCACACGTGCCGTGCAAGTATTGATGTGTTTCTGTTAATAAGTTCATCAACTCTTACTGTTAATCAAGCACTAGCCAACGTAGTACATATAGTGGGTTCGATCCCCAATACTGGAAAAATATTGTGTGATGAACATAGTGTTTTTCTAATGGCGTGTGTTTATATATGTATAATATGTATTTATTTACAAAAGAAAAGTATGTTTAAGTATGTTTATCAGTTATCTAGTACCCATAGCACAAGCGTTGCTTTGTTTGGGACTAGAGAACGTTGTGTAAAAATGTGTCCTAAATTATTTATTATTATTATTTATTATAATGCGTAATTTTTTTATCTTTCAACAGTGTAGTCCCTCTTTCCAAAAAAAATACTGTCCTTTTTTAAAACGCCTTAGCCTCACACGCAATCGATGCGATTTGAACTCCTGGTCAATATAATAATGTTATAGAATTAACAATGAACGAAATTACTACAGGACTAGAATCTGTTATCCTCATGATGGTCAGCATTTCGCGTAGCAAACAGTTTATTTTCAACCGAATTAAAAAACGGAGCAGGTTCTCAATGCGACTGTATTTTTCTTTAGAGTGAACCGAATTTTATCATTCTTTTATTATTTGAAAGCTGGTGCTTCCCATGTGGTCGCATATCAATTTTATTGGTGTTGGATATCGGGCTCCGAAGATACTAAGGGAACTCCTGAGCATCAATTATAAAATGAATACGGAGCGAGATATTTGAAGTCGGTTTTTTTTTTTTTCGTTAGTAAAAATACCTGTATGTACTGACTTACCTTCGTTTGCTGCCTTTGCCTATATTATATATGTTATCAGCTACAGAAAGCATTAAGAGCCGTGATGGCTCAGTGTCCGGGCGCTCGCCTTTAATTCTATATACTCGAGCAACCTGAGTTCAATCCCCGGTGCCGGCACCAATGAAGTTTTTAACTTTAAGTGCTGACTTATCACGTGCTCCGCGGTGAAGGAAAACATCCTGAGGAAACCAGCATATTTTCGAAATAGTAATAAAAAAAATATATTTCGAAGATTTGTGAAGTCCGCCAATCCGCAGTGGGCCCGCGTGGTGGACTATGCCCTGATACCCTCTGTATAGAGGAGGCCTTTGCCCAGCAGTGGGACATGTATAGGCTGTTACTATACTTTTTTTTTTTTACAGAAAGCATTGCATTTATAACTTTGGATGAAAACATCCAAACTAATATATATGTATAAAAACGTGTTTCTATTTTATTAAGTCATTATGAACTTTAATTAGCGGGCATAAACCGGATTATGCACGGTGGCGGCGAATGGAGGCATTGGGTATTGTTCGACAGTCGAGCTGAGAGTGGTTTTCGAACATACCGTTGATCGATACTGACCATAAAAATGTGTTTATGGCTGAAAGAAATTTACGACGGCATTCGTCGACTGCTTAATTAGACCGTCGATAATACAACCTTTTAAGGACTGTCTTAATCAACGATGGGAATATGTGCATATTGAATATTTAAATTGCAGATAAATTACGTTTGTTACCACAGTAAAATTTCAAACTACAACGTCAAATATGTGTCCTAACGTATTTTTGCTACTGGGACTAATTTTTTATGAATGCTTTCCTTTAAAGCCGCGGCATCAAAATAAATAGTAGGACTTAAAATTCTATATGATAAAAAATGTATATTAATATTTAGTAGCGGTCGCCTAGTGGTCGAAATTCCGCCGTAATTAAGTACATACTAGTGTGTGTACTGTTTTATTGATTTATGTATAATATATTATGTATTTTTATGTATAAAAAATGTTAGTAATTATTAATAATTATTACGACATCCAATGTTAGTTATTGTTATATTTCCACACTTTAAACGGAATCACACGGAAACACCAAAAGCGATCTGTTTAAAATCCTTATGGAACGTACGTACACACAACGATTTTTGTATATGTTGCTATTGCAACGCTACATTTTGCAAATTAACCGTCGGTGCAGTGAATGGTGGCTGGAGCTCGTGGGGCCCGTGGACCCAGTGTCGCTGCAACGGGCGCGTGACGGGGGGCCAGAGGCGCACGCGCACATGCACCGAGCCGCACCCCCTGAACGGGGGCGCCCCCTGCCAGGGGCAGGCCGTGCAGAGAACAAACGACTGCGTCCCCTGCCAAAGCGGTGAGTGCGGTTTACGATTACGAATGAAATTATTTTTTCTTTTCTTTTACTAATTTATTGCGTTAAAAAAACTACCCACCCATGAAGTAAAATTATTATTAAGATTTTTTTATATTTGTCGTAATAACTAAATGATCTTATATAGAGTACTTTAAATATCATAAAGAAAAATCGTGTCCAGGAATAAATTTAATGTAAATATCATATAACGTTATCGATATTTATTTATTCACTTCAATATAAAAGTGAAAAATATTTTATGATTGAGTTAATTTTTGATGTATTTCATTTTTATGACGATCTCTTCAGTGCTAAGTAGTTCGTGAAAGCCATAATTATAAGCCCTTTTTTTTCTTAACGCTTTTCACGAAGACGGATATATGGACCTACAAGCTTACGACAACACACAACAATTGCTCATTGGTAAGTTTAAAGTATAATAAATAAATATATAATTTAAAATGTAGTGAGGTAAATATATAAATTAAATAGGTTACAGACACATCGTATGGGATACTCGTATTAATAATTACTCTGTAATTATATACTTGGAACATAATTGGAAGTTCTAGAATTCTCTCTTCATTTTTTTAATTTAAGAAAATTAAGTGTTATTCTAAGTTGCCAACATTAGCTTATTGAATAATATTTTTACTGTCTTGGATATAATGTTCAACTCCGCTAAGTTATATACGATTCATGAAAGTTACTCTAGTAAAATAATCGGTATGGATAACTTTTAATGATAACAATGACATCTTAAGCAAACACAGACTAAAGCTCCTTTTGCAGTTTCCTGAAGATCTGAAAGAACTTTACGAGAACGAACTGAAATTAAAATTTTTGAATTCGGATAATTTGGAATAAATAATGGACTGTGTTAGGAATGAATTAATTTCTAATATAAGGGATTGTACAATAAATTATCCGACATCGAAAAAGGCCAAAGTCCCCCAAATAAAACCTTTAAATGGCGCTCAAAATTTCGGCCGCCATCCACAGAAGGAACAAGGAGCCCATAAAAAGACCGGGACCTCGAACGGCACGTGGCACGAATCCTCACAATTCCAACACAAAACACACTCGAGTGTCATAATCGCATTTCCATCTAAACTATAAAAAAATACCGCCGCTTAATTTACAAAGGGCATAAAGCCGATGCGGCCGCGCACATCAAAGAGCTCGAAGTATTTCATAGCAACACTAAAATTACAAGTAAGCGTTCCGTACGGGGAAGTTGGCACTTCTAAATTGATACTCATCGCTTTGAAGAGCGGGGAGCGTTGCCGTGAAATGATGAACAGCGTACGCTGATTAGGATTAATGAGTTGGTTCCCGCGAAGTCGATATTCAACATCGCAGGTGGTTTTTGCAATTTACAAATCGAAAGTAGCGTATCCCTTCAAAGAGGAGGGGAGATTTTTCTGTGTTCATGACAACCGTAGTACCGGGGCTTCGTAAAATACTAACGTAAATAGAATTGTTTATAATTTTGTGTTTCGTCCGATAAGTGAAGCATAATGCCTCTAGAGTTGTAAATGACCGACTATGATGACTTATCGCCATCAATAAAATATCAAGGCGTCCTTATTAAATAAAAGTAATTTATGGTTATTCCGCAAATAGTTTAGATTTTGACTCTCGGCGTTTCGGGCCCCTTACAGGGCCCATGCAAAAGTCCATTAATCAGCTTTATTTAAAGACGTAAAGTATTCTCGTAAACTTAAGAAATAATCAAATGAAAAATTGAATAATTAAAAGAACTAAAAAAGCCGGAATGCGACATGAAAAAAAATTGAAAACATACAATTTTGTAAAAGAAATTTTTTGAAAAAAAAAATGAAAACGTACATTTTTGCAACATAAATCTGCCATTATAAATTTTTATAATTCTAAAAATGAATCTAACGACTCATCAAAATCATTTCAATTTTTATTAGCTCAGCCGCAGTTGGATACAAAGGGATGCTTTCTACCTCAATGAGATTAAATTGCCAATGCGTCTGAAACAAATGAGATTTCGTTCGTCTTTATAAAAATGGCTTGTGGGCTATTTCCCAGTATTGGTCTACGGCACATACCTATCCCGGGCAGACTTAAAAGGCGGCAAATTAATCCGCCTTCGAAGGTGGCACACACACGCTGCACCGAACGGGGGACAATAAAATCTAATCAGCGGAGCTTGTCTGAAACCGTGAAACGCGGCTGGATCATTGTTCCCGCTAATTGGTAACACATGTCGACGCGGACCGACGCATAGCTATCTATACGCTTGGAGAGCTCTTTGTAATAGCATATTCCGATTGACACTCCCTTGTGCAAACTCGTGTTTTCATCAAGACTGATAATTTTCTTGATATTTTTGTTGATGTTTACGCGCTCTTTTTAGTTTTTTTCTGATGAAAGTTTCCTTTCTATTTTTCGACCTAAATAAGAGTTTTATTAGTATCTTTATGACTCTTGCTATTGCTTGATTAGATTGATAATTCTTTGTTTTGAAAGGAAATAAACATACTTTCTACAATATGTCGCATATTCTGTTACGTTTCGATACGATGTTTGTTACGATTCGTCCGACTTACAACGTAGAAAATTAGAATATTACAAATGTATTTGCAAGAATGAACCAAATTATAAATTAGTCATATTTTAAATTTTGACAAATTATTCTAAATAATCAAAGCAAAACTTCGAAATAAAAATTTTCTAACCACTAGTTTGAGTCACTTGTCAGACAATGAAATATAATGCAAACAGTGAGATAAACAAACAAACATCGTATTAGAGGTAGTGTATAAACGAAATTATGAATTACTGCATCGCGGTGCCAAACGACCGTATCACGAAATGGCACTTGCCGCACTTGAGTTGGCTGCTTTAAGACATCAAAGTAATTGCCAGACATAAATGGGAGTATAATCGAGGACCATTTATCTCGTAGCATTCCTTGCGGCGCGAGTAAAACGTGAAATAATAATAGACTGAAACTCGTGCCTAGATCCTTACGTAAACTGCAATGGACACTACGTTTTAAGCCTGTGTACGTTGTAAGCGAAGCTTTATGACGTAGTTGCTAAGATATCGGCTTCAGAGCCGCGGGTCGTAGGTTCGATTCCCACACGAGACATCTATTGTGTGACCCACAGATAATTGTTTCAGATCTGTGGTTACTTATTCCAAGGAGGGTTGACGTCGAGGTAGACGGCCGGTCGTAGAAAACCTAGCGTAAACCACTACTACAACATGATTCACATGTTGTGCCGACCCCACCTAGGTGGGATAAAGGCAAGATGATGATGATGATGATGATGATTTGAAGTATAATGTAATAGAGCAACAAAACGTATATAACAGCTTCTTCCAGGTTAATACGGATGCATGATGGCAGAACCATGGTCCAATAGAACATCGGAGAAAAGTAAGGGTATTCATAGTTCTCCGTCTTCCCCGGTTTGTAAGGTCCACTGCAATCCTTAAGCGGTTGGAAACCCAACTGCAATAACTTTGGCGCTGCGAAATCCATGTGCGTCGTATCTCACTTGCCACGTGGTGAACTGCTTGCCAAGTTGTCATCACTTTTGAATTAAATCAAAATACGATGAAATGTTATTCGTCACTGTAATCATACCCGTCCGCGATCCTAAAAGGTTTATAGAGATATGTGTATATAATCTGTGTATTCAATAAATTCACCATGCTTATTAAATTTTAAACATGGTCGTTGAGAAATTCGAAAAACAAAAGTAGTGTGTGTACAGATCAAATGTTATATGTAATAACTTATGATCAGCCACTTAATAATGCCCTTATTTTATCTTTATTTCAATTAAGATTAGAAAGGAAAATAATTTTGAACAAAAAAAAAAAACGACTTCAAACAGGAAACTAAAAGCATTGTCAACACCTATAACATTTGAAGATTGCCGTCGATTTTTCTGGGATGCCATCATCAGATCTGTATTTCCTTAGTATGGTACCACCTTGGGATATCTCCTTTCCAACAAAAAAAGAAGCATCAAAATCGGTTCATAAATGACGAAATTATACTCGAACACACATAAAAATAATAAAAATATATGCGATCGAATTGAGAAACCTCCTCCTTTTTTGAAGTCGGCTAAAAATAGGTACACCGCTCAGCTATCACAGAATTTTAACATTGCTAAATGTATAGACCGCAAACATTACCTCATATGCTGGCGACACAACCGTTCAATCGTTGTTTAACCTTAATTAATTATTCTCAGTATTTGATTAAGGCTTACCTTAATCATATACTGAGAATCAGAATAAGTGCAAAACTAAGTATACAATGTTGCAAAGAATTAATACCACATAAGGTATATTATCGAAAGGGACTGTGACATCTGATCTCTTAAATGAAGAAAGCTGTTCAGACAGTACTCAAATACAACTAATTTTTAATTATGGACACATTTTTCCACCTACCACAGAGTAAAGGTCAGCTTGTAGTCGCAAATCAAAATGTGGAGTGATTTGTGCGTGAAAGAAATTCAAAAAAACAAATAAATTTTTGCACGATTTGCGAGTTAGCGTCCCCAGTTACTACAAACCTTTCCCCATTAGTATTAAAGACTGGAGAGCTTTCTTTTGCGTGTTTCTTCGATGCAGACTAGTGATGTAAAATAAACATTTTAAAACGAAACCAGAGGTAATTTCTTGACCAGTCCTTCGTTTCATTCCAGTTGCTCATTTCCAGAAAATTCTATGAACTCCCGCGAACGCTTAATGCACTCCACTCTAGCGCTATTGCCCACTTTATCTCGGCAACGGTTTCCGTCTCGTGCAGTAGAATCCCCGCAATGTTTCGCGCGGGCGCATAGCCGCATTTGACCACAATTTATTTACATGCCTAAAAACTTTGTGGGATATGAAAGTGGTCATGTGAAAGTCCTTGTCGCTCCTCCTTTAACGAACCTCGACTGATTTATGTGTGCGCGCATTAATTAATAAGAAACGCAGCACAGTGTAGTTAAATATGGTTTACACCCACACAAACGCGACAGGGAAGAGAGCATATGTTTGGCGTAAGTAATGGGACATTAACTATTCATTAGTGAGCTTTTGAAACGTTTATTTATTATTAACTGGGTAATATTCAGGATCCACTATAGATTTAACGTCGTTGCTCAGTTTAATGTGTGTGTGTTTCAAGCATTGAAGTTTTGAATAAAACTCAACCTTTTATATATATACGATACAATGCTTACTCGTGTTTTGAATTATTACCGAAGTGAATTTGTTTACAAAAGTATATTAGAGAAAGTTTAAACTTTTCATGTTTATTATAAATTGAAAACCACACTTGGTAATGGTGTTGTATACGCCGGTGCATATACTCGTATTACGCTATTTCTTGAATTATAAATGAGTAAACGGTTACTTTCTGCCGTTCTATATTAATCATTCAATTAAGAAAAATTAAAGCGTTGCACGGTTGAACGCTCCACAAACGGCACGTCATCGCTTGTCGATTGGGCCACGAGATAGCCCGCAACGTAGTCACGGCACTATTATTTCTTTTGTGTAAAAAAACCACGTGATTTATTCTCCGCCGGCGTGTAAGGGCAATACAGGCATCGTAGCGGGCGTATTTTAATTTCAATTTATAGGGCGATATCTTATGAGCGGTGCTGTATTATTAGGTGTACGATTAATAACGCCCTTGCTGTAATTGGTTATGAGATCGCTTTAAAAACTGTCGTGGCGATTGTAGTATCTTCACGCGATAAGACGTAGTTTCAAATGCGGCTCGATTTTCGATTATTTCAAATACAAAACTCATCCTATGCTTACCCAATTAAGCGGGATCGGTTCGACATTTGAAGCATGTTGTAAACGATATTGACTGGTTTTTTTACGAAAGGCCTACCCGGCATATACCCTCATTGGGAACAAACTAGATCCGGAAAAATGTATCCGTGTCATACCAAAACTTGTCCCGCGTGGGAATCGAATCCACGACACAAGCCGATAGCCTAACAACTGCGTCACCGAGTCATCAATAATAAATAGTAAAATGGTGTGCTTTAATTTTTTCGGTATGTCGTAGAGGTTCGGTACCTACTGTCGCGTATTTAGTGGGTTCAGTAAAATGTGTAGCGCGGTTTTATATCTTTATCATCGACACCAACGAGCCAATTATAGTCTGCATCAAATATCTTTAAAACAACTTATACTTGCAACATATCTCTCCAGCCCTTAGTACACAGGGTGTTCCTTTAAATATAGTCCGCTAGCAGTTCTCGCTTATAATTATGCGAGTTCATCTTTCTAGATTTACACAATTATTTGCCTTAACACAGAAAAAAGTTTTGTAAGATTCGATTTGTACAAAATGTCTCATAGGTATTCCTTATTGTACTTTGAAATACCAAAAATAAGGTACAATTACTCTGTTTAACTTTACTCGTATAAATATTAATTGGTTAAGATAATATTAGATTGAGATGTAAGCAATAAAGGTCATCGAGTAATTTCAATGCATCAAGAAACGAGGCGAGCCCATTTTAATAAAATAAGCTTGACTCATTTCTCGCCGTGAATAGTAGTAACAGCATTTTCATATAACACGAATAAAATTGAATGTCCACACCGCAGCATGTTTACGATAATACTCGTACTGCTGTTGGCAATTTATTATTAAAATAAAACGTGTTTTGTGTGACGTGATAAAATTTAATTTCCCCCGCTACGGAGCAAATATTGTTATAACTTATTAACGCTTTCAACATGAGGTTGTGTGTCGAAACGTTAATTCTAGGAGTAATACATTTTATCTCGCCAGGTTGGCCTGCGTCGGTTATTCTTACATATTAAAGTAATAATATCTGCTGGTCCGTACATTTTAACTGCCGTGATTAAATAGAATAAAGTCATCGTAAATTGAGAGTACAAATATACAATTCCAGACCGTTGTATGTTTGGTTAGAATAGGTAAATGTGTACGACACAAACGCAGTCGCGGTGAAACGGTCGAGTGCATTGAAACCGCGTGTATTATCCGACTTTCGCAATAGCACTTTTTGTTGCGATATGGTAATGAATCGCTCGTTATAGTTCGTAACAAATCGCTTAATGAGCCAATAGCATGCCTTTCGACGATAAAAATCGTATGGGATCGGCGACCTAACGATTCAATTCGCCGCAGTCGAGATTTTATCGGTGACCGGAACAGGAGTTGGCGTTTTCGCAACTTACGAAAACACCAACATTTCGTAAAATACTGTTTTTTTTTTTGCAGGAGAAGATTTTCTAACGTCCATTGAACATTCAAATTTATTATAAACGATATATGCAACGTTCTCTATTCAAATTGATTGGATATGATCGTCGTTTTAATTTTAACGGTCTCATGTGGGGGAAGTGCTAATTTTATTGTGAGAGATACTAACTTGATAAACACCGCGCCGCCATTCTTCTAAATGTTTAACCGTGATCTTTTAGTGAAGATATAACTCGTTTATTTGTATTCTTTCTGAATCATAAAAATAAAAAAAAAATAAAAAAAAGCCAATTGAGCTTGACTTGTTACCATTGGATCATAAAATATTACGACGTGTACCACTTTCTTATAGACGATAGCTTTTCTCCCTCAAAACTAATCACCTCAAGTATTCTCGAAGACTATCTCTAAATTCTTTTTCTTTTTCAGCCGTTCACAGCTTGTTCCTTGACTCGAAAGAGAAAGGTCGTAAGCGTTCTGTGACAACCCTAAATACCTAATCAAAGTTGTTCTTACACAGCCCTGCCCGGTCGGTGGGGCGCGTGGTCCGAGTGGTCGGTGTGCGGGGCTGATTGCCGGCAGACCCGGCGTCGATCCTGCACTGGGGACACACCCTGCTCTGGGGCGCACGCACAACACGCCGACTGCGTGGGCGACTACTGCGGCGTACACGGAGGTAGGAGCGTTTGCGCCCACTAGTAATTTTATGTGAAAAGTTGCCAAGCGAGCAGACGGTTCACCCGATGTTAAGTGAATACCGCCGCCCGTGGCCATCTGCTACACCCGAGGGTTCCAGATGCGTTGACAACCTTTTGAGAATTGGGCTCCGGCCACCTCACTCACTAGACGAAACGCGAAAGTATTGTACTTCCACTTCACGCCGATCTTCTGTGGGGTCGTGGTACTTAAACGGACGAGCCCGCCCATTCGTGCAACAACCTAGGCTGCTGCGTGGCACTACCACCGTAAAATCGTTTTTATTTATAGAGATACCAAAAATTGTACAAGGTACAATAAAAGGTTAGAAATACACATAATTAAATTAACAAATGAACACACCAATAACAGGCGTACACATCATTCACGAATAGTAAATACATACGTGCTGTACAAGACACCTATTAAAGTAACTTTATTTACATAAACAACAGTAATACGATTTATCATCATAATAATTTCAGCTTGTTTGAGTCCACTGTTGAACGTAGGCCTCCCCCACAGACCGCCACGAAACACGATGAGCCTCCTACATCCATCGACTTCCCGCACACTTGCACAGGTCGTCACTCCAGCTAGTGGGGGTCGTCCTACACTACGACGATCATTAAATAGGCTGTTACCTTTCTTCCAAAAAGTTATCATAGCGTGAATAATAATATAGATAATATATACAAACGCACACTTGTCACTATTTTTTTATTATTAATGATTGCACTCAAGATGACATTTCAGTTTTAGTTAAATAGATAAATCGTTGAAAATGTTTTCTATGCTGCGTGAATCGAACCTGGGTCTTCTCAGAAATGCAGACGCTCTAGGCAACTTACAAACGTTACTTGTTTCTTATACTTCAATTTAAACCATGGAAGCCTATAGAAATAGTTGAATGAGAAAGTTTTTTGATTTCAAAACCCCAAAAACTAAACGGATTTATGTGTATTTTAAAATTTTTTTCATCGCATTTTATATTAAACATGAAATCCAAAAGCTATGAACGGATTTATTAAGAGAAACAATCAACAAATACTAAATTTTGAACAGAGAAGCCAAAGATATTCTGTTTCTCTTCATGAGAGCTCGAGATCTGGTTTATGCGGCTCTTTTGATGTTCAGTGTGGAATGCCTCAACGGCCGAGTTAGTTCGAAATTTACACAAATGCGTTAAACGCTTCAGAATGCTTTGCCACATTCGAATGAATTCTGATGCCGAATATATAAATGTTTAATTAAACAGGCGACCTCAGTATCGTCCGGGAATAGTCCCACTCCGTCAGGTGGTCCTATAGGAAACCGCCACCAAAATACCGGGATATTGCGACACCGCATAAACCGTACAATTTTATCGCACCTACGTTTCCTGCAACACGCCGTCGAACATTCATAAAACTAACATGTCATCTTTATACCAGCAACAGGCCCTAAATAGAATGCGCGAGCGGAGACCGAGATTCAACCTTAAACCACGGTTCGCCGTCATACGACATCGGCGAGCTATGAATCCATTCCTCAGGGGACATGTTAATTAAGACGATTCTATGAAAGGCGCACGGATTCGTTCGGCCAGATGCCGTTCGGCTAAAAATACACTTCCTTTTCCGCGCACGCTCATAACTATGAAATGCTACATGGACTGCCCGCTTTATAACAGGCTATCGGCTGTAACGTAACCCGCCAGCTTAAAGAGGTCCTTCGCACCTTCGCCGCGTACAGAGGGCCCCGCTACGATAACAAATATCAGGGGTCAAGCAGAGTCGGCCACGTTGAAAAGATTTGAGAGATACTAAAATCGGGAGCCGTGACCATCTGCGTCGTATCATACCGTCTAAATTTAGACGAGGGCCTAAAATTTTATGGTAGTACTTTCGTAAGAATTACTAACAATTTCATATCTTAATGTTCTCGGTTACATAATTGGACGGACCTCTATTGTCGTATTAATCTACACTCATCCATATAAGCTACATATGCTCAATTATGAACATTATAAAATTTTATCTGTACGACAATCAAGGCTTCTAACATTATGTAATTCATATATGTATTTATTTTCTCCATGAAAGTAATTTTCTGATAGCTGACAAACATTCGATACGTTTCGATTGTTCACGTCGAATCCAATAAATCTTCGGTAATAATACCTGCACCAGAAACAAAGTAACAATTTAACATTTGTTACCGTTCCTCAACAGCTGGCGTGCCTCTCCCTTGGCGGTCCCGCGCCAATACAGCGAACGGAAAATGAAAATGATCAGTCAACATTTTGTTTGCGGAGCCAATAAATCATTTTCGTGGTCACCGCTGATTCGGTTTCAATTTCCTATGCTGTTTATCGTACGCTTGATAAATAGCCGCCGGCTGCCTTGTGTACTCCGCTCGGTTTACTCAACAAATTCCACTTGCCGCGAACGTTTTCGGTATTCGCTCCTCACGCTAAATAAATCTGCGATCTTCTTCATATTTGCCTATAGATTGTCTTTGTTTATCGTTCCTTGCGAAGTGATTGTTATTTATTGCTTATCGTTTCACAATTTTCCGACGTCTCGAGCCCCACTTGACGGAAATTTACTTCTTCGCTTAACTTTACTCACGCATTTTCAGTTTTGATGAGAATTTTATGTTCAGTGTGATTGGTGTATTATTTATCGGAGAGTGGGAACGTTTTTATTTTTGCAATTTTGATAGCACATCGTCAGTTATTTTCTTACATTTAAGTCAACGGCTGGAAAGCAGATTTGGCCCTAAATTAGTCTAAAATAATTTAGTGCGTAAACTTATGAAGTGTATATAAGGAGAATAACATTGATAATAAGTTATTTGATGACTACTTAAAATAGATTATGAAGAATAAAATACATTTCTATATAATTAATCGTACATCAGTTGAAACAGCTATTTAAGTTTATTTTTTAAAAATGTCTCCCGCACTCAAACATGTAAACGTTAAAGTTCACCCTGGGATCGGAACAAGTATTTTCGGATAACACAAGCTTGTGACCCAAAACATGATGCAGAACAATAATTGCCTAGCTGACCACTTAGATCATATTTATATGCTTGAAATCTTGTCACAAACTACCCTCCTAGCTGGTATATGCACGACGCAAAAATTTATTCTACACATTTGTGTGTTAGTATGATTATATTTTGAGTGCTTTAACCTCTATCACACAGATAGCCCTCAATCGATGATTTAAAAAGGGACTAACATAACCGTGTACATTTAGTTGCATTTTATCCTCTTCACGCTCCCGGGAGAAAATCCATAAAGTCCGCTCCTCGTCCAACCATCCTAGCGAAGCATCTGGTATATGGAGCATCAGTAAATTGCTCATATGAAAGGTGAGAGTTGAATGCGAAGAACGCTCTGAAGGCCACTCCATTTGCCAGCGCCCTCGTGTACTCCTTCATTAGCCTAATTGCCAACGCACAAAGGGGGAAGCGGTGAACATTTCATCTTCCGCTAACCACGAGTAAACATCCGGTTAGTTCCGAGGTACGAATGGTGCGAAATTTAAAAGAGTACACAAGTCTGCTTTTGAATCCCACTTAATAGAACTACAGTTACCTAATGAAGTGCTCTTACAATCAGAAAGAAATTCACAGGTTATAGCGGTGGACATGGCGGAGCGTAATTCTGAACAAATTTTTCTTGCGTAGAGTACTACAAATAAAAAAAGAAAATCACAAATCATCTTTTACTAATAACCATTGAAATTTGGAAAGGCCAGGGTATAAAAATATAGCACCTTCGCGATCTAATAACAAATTTAGCTGTGGCTGTAGTCGAGGTTTTATAATTATTTATTGTCATTAACTCGTCGTCAGCTAAAAATACGCTCATGGAGGCCAAACAAACGAGCGCCGACAATAATGCCTGTCACGAACTCGGCTTTTTACCAACACAATAACATAAAAAAAAAAACGCAAGGGGATTTATACGCGATGCAGTTCTCATTATCGGAGGTGGGCTCCGTAAATGATTTGTTGTGATTTCGCCGACTGAGCGCAGCGGGCGATCGCTAACCTATCCACATGTCCCTCTAAATCGTGCAGGCGACGGCGACCGCTCAGTTAAAAGCACTAAGGGCCAAAATTCTTTGCGCGAGGTACTGCAGAATTTAATTCCAAAAGGCCTCCTACCACGTTATGGCGGACGCGACAAGGGCTCGTGTATAACGATTGGATTTCGTATCTGCAATCTCACTGCAGCGACTGGCACTGACAAATGTATGCAGAGTACAAATTTCAACAATAGCAACCGTTAAACCCATCATCGTCAGGGGTTGGTGGAACGAATAATTGGGGCAGATCGTCTCAGTGTTATCGAAAAAAATAATTGATCGAATTATTGGGTTAATATTTTCGGATTACCGTGGAGTTAATAATTACGGATCGATTAATTACGGCTGCTTCAACGTAGATAAAGTAAGATACTCTTAAATTGTAATTAATACTAATTGTGTGGGAAATTTTCAAAAGTCGGTGAAAGATAGGGAGTTACTTAAAGACTAGAGTTCTTACCTAGTGTTTGGTGCGTTTTGACTAGATCGGAAGCTTCTTAGTGAGACACCGGTGCCCAAGTCGTGTACACAATCTATGAGCCTGGGACTATACAACTATTCCACCCTTTTTTTTTTTGGTTTGCGACTGGCTGGGGATACGGGAACACGTGAACTCAAACTTCCACGAACCAAAACGTGACTATGGTCTTTGTCTATGGGCCTCCTTTCTCCGGGCGTCAAGACACACGGTTAGGCCACATATTGCCGTGTCGATGCAAAGGGTAGAAACCCTACCATACCATCCCTGCAATCACCGTCAGTGAATGATGTAACTCCTTGTTGTTGTCATTTATTTAGCATGTATACACTAAAGTACGAAGCGCTCGAAATGAAGTAGCGGATGTTAAATGATTTATTGAGTTACGAACATCGTTCGATAGTAAAACTTGCGGCGACTCCGGAATTATTTATGCCGGGAGATTTATGGGCGCGCCTTACGTTTACTGTTCAGCTGCGCCATTGCGTACAAAATGATACGCAGCTCGGCCCGTCTCTCCTGGGTTGCGGGAAGATAAAAGTTTGATTACTTTCCAAGTATGAGGGTACCAGATTACGGTATTTTTAGAGACGGCACCAAACGAGTTAGCGGTTCCCTCGATGGTAATCGATCCACTGACCCCGTTGCGCAGTTGCAACTTCGATTCCCCGACGAGACAACTGCTAAAATGCAGTGCAAGCCATATTAAATGAAACTATTTAACGGATTTTATCGCGTTTTTATTTTGATTTTTAATTGATCACGTTTCGGACAGACGTTCCGTAAAAAAGTTCAATTTAATGTGTATAATATAATACCTACCAAATTCCAGGAAACATTTGGAAATTTTATTTATGATGGTACATATACATACAAGCAAAAGAATAACATGTTATTGGTTTAGTATTTGTATTTATATTTAAATATATAATTTAAAAGAAAAATATAATATTGTTTATATGGAAAACATATTACATAATTTTAAAGTCACCTCTAACGCAACATCTGAAAGATGAAATATTGTTTTTAGTATTTAACCGCGCCAATTTTACCTTAGAAAATCTCAAGCGTTACAAAATATGTAAATAGACTCGGCTATTCCGTACTTCATTCAAATTCCGAAGTCCTTGACTATTGATTATACAAACATGTTTTAATTAGGTACTAGAAATGGTTACATTAAACCATGATTGTTTTATTCTGTAGCTATAAAGTGAGAATTAAACTATTAAATGTTAAAACGCATACTATACTAAACACTGTGTTCGATATACAGACATATATTTTTAAGTATCTGTTTCTGTATTACAAATTGCTGTTTACTTTTATATGTTTCTATTTTCTTGAGTTTATAATAAAACTTAAGAACAGAAGGCTTCAGTTAAAAAAGCCCTATTCACTCAGTCAAGCGACGCGGATTCAATATAAAAGATTTTCCTGCTCGTATGCGTTTACTTACTACTTAAGTACAACTACGGTGTATTTACTTAGACTATGTTATAGCTTAAAGATGTTACGTGCTTACCACTGAACGGTTTTGTTTATCTGCAAAGATTCCGACGTAGAGTTCATTATGTCGTCATAAATAGTAACCTATTAGATACTTATATTCGATAAAGTGGTAATACCCGATAGTGGTAATGTCAGATACTAGATAGTAATATTGAACCAAAGGATTTCCGAGAATTATAATCTCTTTTATCTAAAAATAAAATAAAATGATTCCTCTTTTCGGTTTCAAAATATTCTTTTTTAAATTATGTTTAGCGAACCACAAGCCAATATCGGCAGATATATTTTGCCTACTTTCCTAGAATACACAAGTAATTGGTCGAAGTCGCCCTATTTGAAACAATATTACTTTCATTGGCTAAGTTTTGTAATGCAAATTAAAACGTATGAAGCAGTTTTTGACTTTTAAATATTATTAAGTTTTTAAATGGATGAAGAAATATTCCAAAAAACTTCGTATTAACAAAGACCTTTTTTGTTATTTAAAGACCAGTTGTTATAAAAAGTCTTTATCACTAACTGTTAACTTAACCTACATGTATATTTATATCCCCCGGCCTTTTTTCAAAGAAAAAATGTAACCATATATACATATGTACGTACATATTATATGAGAAAAAAATTATATACTCATATACAATTTATATAATTATAACCATTATATACAATTGCATGTATACGTAAATAATGACGAACTGATTCTTGTCACTAGCAGGATCCAAGTTTGAGAACAGGTATTATGACGTTTGTAAGGTCTTGCAACAATTTTTTTAATAAAGAGCCCTTTGACTTTGAGTTTGAAGCCTGAAGCTAGGCACCACATTTACCACACGCACGTAGCTTAGTCTCGTTTTTAATTACGCTTAACGCCCACCGATCGTTATCGATTTACGGACGAGAATTCCACGCTTATCCAATTTTTCGGACGACACGTCGCGCCTGTCGTTTGCCGGAAGTAATTGCAGCTAAACTGATTCGTTCTTTCCACCTTCTGCGAACGCTTGGTTTTATGTTTTATTTGAGGTGACAAGCGTGTTGGTGACTTTTTTTTAATCTATCCGAAAAGAGCTTCATCGCTGAGCGACAACATCTCATTCATTCATCAACACAACATTACTTAACATCTATATACAAAACAAACTTTTTCTTTAACTAAGTTCGGCAATCCTGACTCTCCAGATATCTCCTGTATGGAGTACAGTATAGACTACAGTATAGACTATACACCTAATTGTATGGAGCATTTAGAACAGGATTAAATAAATATTGTCGTTACAGACATACATATAAACCGGTTAACGTTAACCGTTGAACGGTAATTTTCAACGGTGGCTTGTTTCCTATCTATTTATTTCTGTACACAACTTAAGGCATGTATGTCTTAAGTGCCATCACACAAAAACTGGGCACTATAACATCGAGTCCTTTTGAGGGAGCAAACTACACGAAAAGAACACTCGTTAAAATGCACCGCGGGACTTATCGTAAACTTGGGGACGCGATGACATAAATAATATTAAGGCCCGTTGCCACAACAACGATGCTCATTTCACATGTATAAAAACCGCCGTTCCCTTTTCTCCTAAAACCCGACAATCCAATCCAATATGAACCTTGGTGCAACTCGATAACGTTCAATTGAAATTCACCGCACGCAACAGCCGACTCTGTCGAGGACTATTTCAAAATTTTATAGTCAAACTCGTAAAACCGTTAAAAGCTTATCATACGCAGGTGCAGCGCAATTATGCGGTCCGATTTATAGTTTTCGACAATACGTTTTACAGTAATTCACCCCTTTTTTTGTGAGGAGGCCTTAATGGCCTGGAGTTAACAGGCTTTCAGAATTGTACTGAGCCTGCACGTTTAACATTTGCATCTATATCCGTACTGGCAATCTGGTTATACTACTCTACGCTAGCCATTTCACGAATACGCGATATTTTTTCGCTTTAAAAACTTCAAGAAACTCGGGCGAAGTCGGTTTCGCAATTTATTCGGCTTTGTTAGCTCTGGAAAGCTTTTTCCAAGCAAGAAGAATAGAAAAAGAAAGAAGAATAGAAAAGAAGAAGAAAAAAGATGTTTTTCCGAGACTGATAAACTAGTGCCCGAATAACACGCCAACTTTAATTTTCAAGTGTTGAAAGTTTCGAAGCAAAATAGGATAGACGAACTCGCGATACCATATTTGTTCGATTTACCGTCTATAATTATTACTGTTCTGAAATTTATTTTTATCCGGTCTTTGATTATGTTATATTACTGAAAGCTTCGTTTAATGCATGTTGATATAAAAAAAAACAAATTCAAAATCAATATAACGGTTGTATTTATACTCGTTGATTGAGGTTAAGAGAATGTATATCATTTATCTCTTCCGCAACGAAAGCGAATTACACATTATTAAAATATGCAAACATAGAAGAAATAACAAAATTATAATAACTCTATTATGAACCTGTCATTTATTGAAGCGTTTTTTTGTAAAAAAGATTGTTACGCATTGGTAAATTAAATAAGTTATTTGGCATTTACAGCGGCAAATTGAGGTGCATTTACTATTAAGTAGGATGTCAGGTGTTGTCAACCCACTTCCTTAAAGTGCAGTTGAGCGCAGTTTGTTTCGTTTGTATCATCATGAAAATATCCTAAAGGCGGATTTCCCACCGCAGTTGCCGCGCACAGCGACATTCCCCTCTACATCGGTATCGCCGTAGCCGTAGTAGTGTTCCTTTCCGGTGCGGCGGTCGTCTACAAACTTCTACAAAGGAAGACGAGAGACCACTCGCTTTACACTATGACGAGAACAGGTAAGGTTTCAGGCTATGAAAAATTCTTCAGTAATAGTTAACTGTGCTTCTTTTCACAAACAAGTAGTCGTACTGACGACATTAAAAGCACATGAAAAGTTCTCCTCAAGTTTTATTGTATTTCATCTCATTGTAATAATCCTTTAACACCCACAATCGTTGTATTGAAAATGTGAAACTAAATGATAGATAAGGTTTTTAAACAACAATTTACTTATGTAAATTTCAAGTATAATATAATATGCTAATCACGTGTATGTTTTTAAACGCATTATGTACAAACTTCCTTGTCAGCGATTTCGTTCGGCATAATTTGCATAAGCATGATAATTTAATTCGATCGGTATCAGTTCGCGTAATCCAATTTGGTACGGTACCGATCAATCGGTACGAACATAATTTCGATGATAACGAACCGGAAGCCGAATAATTGGACAGTAGCCAGGTAATAATTATATCCATGTTGAAACACTGGCTGGTTCGAATAATGAAATATGAAAACAAATGATAAACAAAAGAATTAATAAAAAGACTGTAAGAAAAGATTCTAAAGTTCCTGAAGGTGAATGCTGATGATAGTTGATGGGGTATTCGCACAAAGAATAAAAACAAAATTTAAAAAAGAAGTTACATGCTTTTTTAGCAGAGAATTTTTCTGGAATCAACCATAATTAATAGATGAGTTCTTAACGCAGATTTCCAACCGGAAATGTATCCGACCGTTGAGAAGCAATCACTGTCCCTGGCACCAGACCTGATGCAGCATCGACCCCCGAGATACGAGCATCCGCAACCCGATACCAGGGCGGAGCACCATTACGATGTACCCCATCTCACCAACAGGTAAATAAATAGACTAATACAGAAAACATTAAGTATTAATAATAATAATAAAATAATAATAAAATATCTTTATTCACATAGACGCTTGCGCGTTCTTATGAAACGTCAAAATTTTACAAGAAATTAACACGTTCGTAAGTTACCACCGGTTCGGAAAGCAGTTTCTGTTGAGAAGAAACCGGCAAGAAACTCAACAGTTGCTCTTTTTTAAAAAATCAGTTTATAATATAATAGTAAAGGTACAATAGTCTTGTTTTAGCCTACGTGAGTATCAACAGTATTAACCCCACACATTGGCATCGTCAAGATATTCGGCAATAGAATAATAGGCTTTAGCCATAAGTTTACTTTTAATTTTTCGTTTAAATTCATCAAGTGGCAGACTTAATATCGACTGTGGGAATTTATTATACATGCGCACACCTTGCCCCATGAACGACCTGTTTACTTTTTGTAGACGAAACAATGGCGTAGTTAGTTTGTCCTTATTTCTAGTATTTAGTTTATGTCTGTCACTATTCTTTAGATAACTATTAATATTATTTTTAACATACAAAATATTACAATAAATATATTGAGACGCAACAGTGAGTATATTAATCTCTTTAAAAAGGTCTCTGAGTGTATGCCGGGCTCCGATGTTATAGATTCCTCGGACAGCTCTTTTTTGAAATATAAATATAGAATTTATATCAGATGCACTACCCCACAACAAAATGCCGTAAGACAAGATGCTGTGGAAATAACTGAAATAAACAAGTCTGGCAGTGTCGATGTCTGATAGCTGCCTAACCTTCCTAATTGCAAAAAACAGCGGAGCTTAACCTGTTCGCAAGAGATGATAGATGGGGACTCCATTGGAGCTTTGAATCCACTGTAATTCCCAAGAATACAGCGGACTCAACAGGATTAAGGGTTACGCTATTTAATGTTAAGCTAAAACTTCGCCTTCTTACGCTGGGAAGGGTAAAAAGAAGGCATTTAGTTTTTTTTAGCATATAACACCATATTATTAACGGTAAACCAGTGGAGGATACGCGAAAGTGCACTATTCACGTCGTCATAATCCGACACGTTTCGGTCAACCTTAAAAATGAGCGATGTGTCGTCAGCAAACAGTACAACATCACATAACTCACTGGCATAAAAGGGGAGATCATTTATATACACTAATAATAATAATGGACCCAAGATTGATCCTTGTGGGACACCCATTTTCATGGGGGACCCCGTGGAATTTAAATCATTTATGGATACTTTTTGAATTCTATTACTAAGGTAAGAGGCAATGAGATTGAGGGCGATGTCAAGAATGCCATAATAATCTAACTTTTGAAGGAGGGTTTCGTGGTCTACACAGTCGAAAGCCTTTGAAAGGTCGCAAAAGACACCTATTGCATCTTGTGACCTTTCCCAGGCGTTATAAATATGCTTGACAAGTGCGACACACGCATCCGTTGTCGATCTGCCTTTAGTGAATCCATATTGCTCCTTGTGGAAAATTTTGTTCATATTAAAATGTACTAAGAGGTGATTTAAAATTAGTTTTTCAAAAATTTTACTCAGAGATGCCAATATGGAGATAGGTCTGTAATTTCCTGGATCATTTTTATCCCCACTTTTGAAAACGGGGATTATCTTACTGAATTTCATAAGATCTGGAAATATTCCAGAATCTATACATTTGTTAAAAATATTTGCCAAATATGTTGCAATATACGGCATTATTGTACTCATTAATTTTATGGACATGCCCCACAAATCTCCTGTATTTTTAAGATTAATAGAATTCAAAACTTTTATAATATCATTAGTATCTATGTGATTAAATTTAAACGTTTGTCGACAATAGGTAACATTATTTTTTAATACATTAATTGCATCAATGGGAGAGGATTTTAACGTGCATTTAACATTAATTGCAATTTCTGAAAAATAAGTTTCAAAACTACTTGCAATTTCGTTATCTGAAGTTATGGGTGTATTGCCTATCACTAGCTTTATAGGTTCCCTGAATATCTTGGGTCTTCCAGATATACAGGTAATGATGTGCCATGTAGCTTTTATTTTATTACTAGAATTTAAAATCCTATTTCTTATGTAGATAGATTTTGCATGTATACAGACTTTTTAAAATATTTTTGAAAAATTTTGTACCCGTTTATGGAAATTAGGGTCGTGATTCCACTGCCTCATATTATATAATTCATACAGTGAATCCCTACTTTTATATATACCCACTGTTGCCCAGTCACTAAATTTTAATTTTGATTTTTTAACAATTGTGCGGGGTTTAAAAATATGATTATAGGAAGTTATGAGAAAATCAACCATTGATCTATAACAATAATTAGGGTTATTGACTCCGATATCATTATGGAATACATGCTGTGCTACTTTATCTTTAAAAGAATTTAGTCTCCTAGCAGTGACTGGTCTACACCTGATCTTAATTTCACTTGTAGTAATGTTTTCATTTATTGAAAATTTTAAACCAAGATGATCAGAGCTCAGATAATTTATAATAGATTTGTCATATACTTCATTGTGACAGAAAACGTTATCGATACATGTGGAAGTTAGTAACACGAGTTGGTTCATAAAAAAGATTTTTAAGTTTGAATGAATTAAATAAATTTAAAAGCCGCTTACTAAGTTGTGTTACTTGTAATAAATCTACATTAAAATCTCCACAAACTATGACTGATTTACTAGTTAAACACAGTTTTTTAAGGACATCATCCATGATACACTCAAACTGGTCGAAATCACCGGAGGGGGTCGATACACGCATACTATAATATACTGTTGACTCTCAACGCAGGATAATTCTATAGAACGTTCGACAGAGAGTGCCATTATATCCTGTCGATTTTTACAGACTATATCATTTCTAACTAACACAAGAGAGCCACCGCGTATAGCATTTACTCTTACGAACGAACTTAACATTTTATAATTCTCTATATTTACAATATTACAATTCTTATGTAACCATGTCTCTGTGAAGCAGATGACATGAATATTAAATTTCCTAAGGAACAGTTCTATTTCAGGTTCTTTGCCACCCAAGCCTTGTATATTTTGATGTACAATATTTAATTTCTGTGGCCTAGGTGTTGTCTCAATGTTTAGTTTAAACTAACATTGTTTGATGACAGATTATTACATGTTAAAATATTCTTAGTTGTACTATGTACAACTGGGTTCTGTATATTGTATGCTACTAAAGTAGCAATTTGTTTCTTATTATATAATGGCAAATACCAAGTATTTTTTGTCACCTTAAAACTAGATTTAATAAAATTATTCATGTCAAAATAAAAGAAAGCGTCACTATGACGGTGAGTTGTATTATATATAGTCATGTTAAGACTATATATGTATTTATTTTGTTCCTCTGTAAGGAAAGAGGAATATGGAAATGAACATACTATAAACTTACACTTAGTCTTATAATGTAAGCCAAGTAACATTTCCGTATTATTAATAATTCCCTTTTTCCTAACAGACGAACTATCCCCATGAAGAAGTACAATTGTACTATTCTCATTTAAATGTAATGTTAATATTTTATTTATATTATTATGGAAACTGGCACCTGGTGAACATATATTGTACACATTACTTACATGCTTAGAAAATAAAGAACCAAAACCTTGCCCTATATTATCTGATACAATTAATTTATCCTTTATTCCAAAATCTATTATAAGAAAAAAGAGTAAATGCCCATTGAAGTTTTCGACCCTCAACTCAGGGCTTATAAAACGTAGTTGCATGAATTTAGAATAAAATTTGTGATTAACTTTACTTTATCTGAAAATTTCAATAGCAATGGCAGGCTTTCCATTTCTTTTAGTGTTAACATTAGTAGGTTTTAATCCAATACCACAATCGCTCTCGAGCAGGTTTTTGTTATATTTCCATTCCCCTATCATTCTTCGTTGTGGTTAAAACACACCAATTTATTATGCTATCATACAAATGAACCATTTAGATTTGTGTATGAAGTATTTATTTCACATCGTGACGGCATTTAGTATTTATAGCGCATCAACCAAAGCACTAGTGCTGACCATTGCGGTCGCAATACGCTCAGTATATTAACTGATAATTTATTTATGCAGCAAATCCATTCTACGTTGATAGTTCCGAATTAATAGTTTATGGACAGGCTATTTCATGCTAGCCACGCATTACCTGCAAGGCTCGTCCAACCACAGAGTTTCCAACTTCCAGCTTCAACGGACCTTTGATGATGACGAGGTGCAAACAATTTATAGAGGGTTTCTTCACAGTTACGCGTCTCCCGTGGACCACCAGGTTACGCCATGTGCGTCTAGCAAAGGACAAAGCGACGAGTACGACAGCAAACCATACAGCGAATCTGAGCACTCCGTTTCCAGTTGTTTCACAAGCTGTGAGTGCTGTCATTGATAATAAAAACTCATACTTGTTATAATTTTTTACTATGGTACGTAAGTACCACAACCCCACAGAAGACCGACGTGAAGTGGAAGTATACTTCTTCATTTCGTCTGGTGAGTGAGGTAGCTGGGGTCCACTTTATTATAAGGTAACAACGCATCAGCAACCCTACGGGTATTGCAAATGTCAATTGGCGGGGGTTATTACTTAACATCACGTGAACAGCTCTCTTGCCACCTTCTCACATAAAACCTTAGCGTAAGCAAGGATTAATGTATTAATTGCAGGATCTTGACTATTGTTACTTCACGCTGCTCACGTGTATTTTGACCGGATATTAACTCACATCTATAGTAACGTTGTAATTGTTATTTAGTTTTTTACATCTAGAAGATGCTGGACCTGCATTCTGTAATTGCTCGTGAACAAGTGAGTGCGAAATGCACCGCTGCTAGTTTCAAATTGGCTTCGCAACTAATCAAAACTTCCCTTGCAGCCGGCTCTATGTACGATGCTGCGAACGAATCCGTTACCCTCCAACTGGCGGAACTCGTCTCGAACTCGCCAACGTCACAGTCGCTCTCTGTATCAAGCGCGGGGTCGAGATTGGCTTTGCCGGCTGCAGGAGTTGCGCTATCCATACCCGAAGGAGCCCTTAGTAGGTGCCGCCGGGAACAAATGTACCTGGCTGTCGTCAAAGATGACAGATACCGATTTAGAGTCGGAAAAGGTAATTAAGTGATTTATTCGTTTGTTTACTATCTCCATATATAATAAAAAATATAAGCATATCATTGAGCTTTTGGACTTCTAAGGTCTAGGACTTGGTTATCACATATTATTATTTTGAATTCACACTTTAATATTTATTGCAGTTTGCACTTTCATTTCTTTGTCGATTTTATCTTTGCTCATTTGAACGCCTTTAAAGTAATTAATTACACGCTTTATGCTCATTATCGAAGATCTCGATCTTATCGTTATATGCTATATATTTTATGGGAGGCAACCGTTTCGAGATTTATTTTCCCCCGAAAGCGGAAGGTTTCATTAAGGAAAGTAGCGTAGCGATCGTTACGGTCGGTTCGATCACATTACTAAAACGAGTATCGCGTATCCAATTTAAATGGACAACCTAAAACAACATATGCAACAGCGTAATTATACAATGAGATGGCAGTGGTGTAATTTATGCAAAGTAGACTTGGAGCCGCGGGCGATGTAAAGCGGCCTGCCTACTCTGCGGTACGTTATTAATAAGATTTTTTTTCTCCGCAGGCATCACGCAACTGAGTCCAGTCGTAAAGTGCGGACCACCGCGCCTTCAATTAAACAAGTCGGTTGTCCTCCAGATACCGCACTGCGCTAGCTTGAAGCACGGCTTCTGGAACCTTTCCTTGTACGCCATTGATCATAACAGCACCAAATCGGACAACGCCCAACCACAATGGAAGAAGGTCGTTGGCCTCGGTCAGGAGACTATCAACACCCCAGTATTCACCCAGTTGGACAATGACAAAATATTCCTAGTCACTGACATCTTGTCTACGTTTGTTCTCGTCGGAGAGAGCTTTAATGGTAAAGCTGTTAAAGCACTCCAGCTGGCAATATACGCTCCGGCTGTTCCAAATGAAGCCTCCCCTGAGTATAACATACGGTTGTACATATTCGAAGACACCCCATGTGCCCCGTACTATTGTCAAGAGCAAGAAAAGAAGCTAGGCGGTGTTCTAATCGATCGGCCCAAAACGCTGCTATTCCAAGACGGGGGCTCCAATCTGTGTCTGAACTTGGAGCACGTGAGCCCCGGTTGGAAGACCAAACCGGGCCTGGGCTACCAAGAAATACCCTTCTCGCATGTCTGGAGCTCAAACTACAATGCGCTACACTGCAGTTTCGTTTTAGAGAGGACACACGACTGCGACAGCATGGATTTCAGTATATCCGCCTGTCAAAGGACCAACCCCACGTACAAGCAAACGTTCCGGATATCGCTGGAAGATATACGCAGCCGGTCGCCGCGTGGCAGGTCCCCGCGCGCGGAATCGCAGCGCAGCTTCAACATAACCGAGAACCTAATCGAGGCCCGTATGTGCCGAAGCGACGAGGGGAGCGAAGGCAGCGCTAAGAGAAGTGTGACTGTCAGCGAGGCGGGTATAAACGAGTGCGCGGGCGAAGGTCCGTTCAAGCTGAGCCCCCGAGTGAAGAGGCAACTGTGCGCCATACTGGATCCGCCGAACGCGCGCGGGAACGACTGGCGCGCACTAGCGTCGAGGCTAGGCGTGGACCGTTACACCACGTGGTTCGCCACGAAGAGCTCGCCCACGGAGGCCATTTTAGAGCTGTGGGAGTGCAGGGAGCGCGCGCCGGGAGCCACCGCCTCTTTAGCGGCCGCATTACGTCAGATGGACCGACACGACGCCGCTGATTTACTGCACGGCCGACCCTCCTGGTTATGAACTCGCCGCTCGCGAGCTATAAAGATAAACTGTAAGGACTATTAGCATTAGCGGGGTCTATTGAATAGGCCCGTCGCGTACAGTTGGTATGGATGGACGTTACGTTAGTAAAGTTACGCGTAGTTTAAATGTTTTGTTAGTGGAAAAATAGTTTCTCGGGCCGGCGCTGGTCCGACTTTGTAAAATCGTCGTAGGATATTCTGTATAGAACTACCTATGCTGTAGATAAGCGATGGAAAATATAAATTATATTATAGTAGCAATAATAGTGCCTAATATCTTTTAAAGAAATGCCAACTTATGGAATGTTGGTGAACAGATTGGTTATTTTGTTAATTTATATAAGTGTTTGAGTGTTCATTGTAATCGAGGTATATCGCTAAGTTCACGTTAATTTCTCTTGAGAATTATGTTTGTTTTTATGCGTTTTTCTTTGGAACTTATTAGATCTACGTGCCAAATTTGAAATTCACTAAATTGAATAATTTGGCGATAATCTCGTTAAAATTATACGCGACTATTCTGAGCTTAATGTAATTAAATGTTTTAGCGTTTCATATTTCAAGTTATTGGTAGAAAGACTTGATACAAATGCATTTACTGTCCTATTTTTAACTTAAATATAAATCAATTTACTTCATCTAGATGAAGATTTACTATCACAAAACGAAGTACTATATATTGCATAACCTAAAAATACTGCGTTCACAATTAATGTAACTATCAATTAAGATAACAGGAAATATTTCCTAATACCAATGGAGTTACTATGGAAATGGCTAGATCGATTGTGCTAATTTCTCAACTATGTATATAAGTTAGATTGTAAATAATTGTATCGCAGTTGCAGCAAGTAGAAGGACTTTTATATCTATGTAATAACCACGGTTTTTGTAAATGGGACTCATCACCGCCGTAGACTATATATATTTTTGTTAACGTGATGACTTTTAAAATAAATGGATCTGTGATAATTAAAATAATATGGAATAAATTATGTTTAACTGTGTTTTCGTTGTTTATTTTCCTCTCTTTAACTGCTGTTTAATATATTACTGGCTATGTATATTTATTTTTTTTATTATTTACAAGATTAAATCTATCTAAAATTACATATTATCTAATAAACCTAATCCACGCGGCATGGTGCCAAGAACGCTAGCTGCATTTCCTCGCTGAATAGTTATGCTTAACCTTTGCGCGAGAAAAGAACCAGCTCTCTTGTCACCAGCCGCGGCGTTACGCCTAGGACATAAACTGGCTTATGTAAATATTGCAATATGGTTCGATTTGAATATAATAACAAATGTTTAATGAGTCGCTGATTGAGGTGTAACTTAAAAGTTACCTTTAGTAAAAAAACGAATGAAAATTTGTATCAGAAACAACTATGCGTTCTTTGCAGTTACAGTTTTAAAATTTTCTTCTTCCATATATACAGCCTTATAATGAATGAGTCTACATTTATTTTTTTCTTTGCTTTAAATAGAATGACTTGCGCACTATAAAATAGTTCTCGTATAGCGAAGTTTTATGAATATGATGATCACAGATACAACGTAAAAGATTGGAAGAAATATTTATGAACACTGCGTGCAATGGCAGGTCAAAATTTAAACCACGCATTCCGGACCTCCACGGTACTTAGCCGACAATCACCCATTTTATCAACGCATGTCAACATGCGTGACTGCTTAGGTAGGGACTTCCAAGCGTTTGAAATATAAACATTTGAGCTCTGTGCCCGATGGAGCTTTCATACATCCAACAGATTCAAAGCGCAAAAACAATCAAGCTGAATGTCCTTAAATTATTTATCTATAGCACTCATTCGGTTATTATTTTATTTGGACAAGGCATATTTTAATAGTGTACAAAACGTGACTATGAAAAGTAAGAACCAACTTGAAAAAATAACATTTTAAAACAACTAACGGCTTGTTTCAACATGCTACCTACAGAAAAATGCTGGTTACTAGCGATAGGCATTGGTCATTAGCTCCTTAATACCGCGGTCAAAATTCTATCTCCACTAACCAAATCTATCTGTAGATAGAAAATTGAAATTACTAGTCATAAGAACATTTAAACTGAAAACAGCAGGAACAAAAGATATGCATATCTTTAAATATTTTTCAAACCCTTCTCACCTCTAACTGTAAGAGTACTTTCTGACAAAAACATACTATACCGGATGGTCAACCGATGAGTAACATAATGGGACACAGTCAAATGCCTAACGTCCAAAAAACCAACTCGCATACCGAAACCGGAGTTAATCACAAAGAAATTCCGAGACCGTAAATAGAATGGGAATAAACGAGTGATGCGCGGCTCCAGGAACGCGGTAGAATTCCTATTCTTCGCAGCGTGGCGCATCGGGAACAAAATTAAAACTACCAATTTGACAAGCGGCAAAATCGTACAGTAAACTGACAACAATGCGGGTAACTAACCAACTAGTATGCAAATGGCCGGCTCGATATGGGTTTCAGTTTTGTTACGGGGCCGTCAACTGAGCAGGTGCCGGCTTACTGACGTCGGTTTGATTCTTCACACGTCACTGGGCTGTAACTAATTCGCTTTGGGCGCGGTGCAAGTGCGAGCGGGAGCGATTGGCGTGTTCGCAGTCAAAACTCTATGCCAGTGAAAACGGATACATCTAAAGCTAGCCTAATAGTTAATTTTCGGGGGCCGGTGCAATTATGAGCAGCAGTGGATAGTTAGTGGATAGCGTACAGTGATAAACTTAACAAAAGCTTCCAAAAAAGACTGGTCATTCGCAGTTATATTGGCATTTATATTATAAAACTTTACAAATGTTTCAAAGATCATGTGAATTTGTTTTCAAATGCGGTTATTAAAACTTTTTTTTTTTTTTTCAAATTATAATTGCTTGCTTTTCTACATATTTGTATCTAAAAATTTTATACCTATGAACTTTCAAGTAGAATAGTTAAACCTGAAGCTTGCTTGTCTAATTTGATATACAATATAAGTTAACCTTCCGATAAATCGTTGTAATTAACTTCTATACAATCGTTTATAATGATTTCTGATCCGCGCCTAAACCTCAAAAGCTTTTCGCCAATCGCTTATACCGCAAGCCCACGTTTGTAACTTTACAAAGCTTACATTTACATATATTATAACACCGATGAAATAAGTGTCTGTCGTTCTTTCACTAAAAAAACTAAAATTTACCGTCTATTACATTTTGAACGCCTCTTCTTGTTTTTGTTTCCCATCGCTTTTATACCACACTTCTTACAAATTTTCAGAATACCATTTGATCCATTCAGAATTTGTATTAGTAATTTGTGTAATTTTTTACATACAACGTTGGCGTTCATTCGAAAAAATCCAATATATACATTTTTAGATTCTGAAATTTAATTAGACATAGTTCTAACAGTTCAATTAATTATGTTGTTTATTAAATAAATAAAGTTATATCAAGATATAGTTTAGTTCCCGAAGCTTATTTTTTACATTTATTTAATTTAATGTAAGCTTACGATCTCTGTACTAATTTTACGTGCCGGCCTTAAGTTCAAGGTGCAAAAAAATTTGTAACTTAAGGTAACCTACTCCTGTTGTCGAAGAAATGTATTATACAACGCAAAAAAACCAACCGACCATTCCCACTTTACCTTTTAGGAGATATATTTGTATAAATCATATCTTAGTACTTTCCTTCACTCCATAGTTAACATAAATAAAGTTAAATAAAAAGTTTGATATAAAACGTTGTCAATCAGCCCGATAGATGTAATTAAAAACCGATTTCAGTTGTCACTTTCGAGAACTCGTCATTCGTTTAAATTATTACCCTATTCGCCCACCCTAGTATTATTTCGCAAGGTTTCTTGCAAGGGTTCCTATTCCTATAGTCGTAAGGGACTGAAACATTCAATAATTGATCACCGTACTAGTGATGTACGATAGCGGTACAGACACGTATTTAGTGTTATACTTAGTGTGTATAGTCTTTGAGTTAAGTCGATTAGACTTAAATATACAAGTCCTTAAATAAATCAAAGTATTGGCGGAGAAACAAAATTGATCAAATGTAGGATGAATGTAAATTTAAATATAACATGACCAAACCGTATTAATCAGTTTACATTACCATCACTTTTTTAGAACACTCGTTACTGTCCTCCTTTCAGACGTCGCTTTATAGTTAATTGGTTATATAAGGTAACAGACAATTCATGTAAAATACTGTTCTGCGATACCTCATTACAGCATTAGTATGACTAAAATCATTGCTACTAAACGAAACATAAATCGTTAGTACATCGCTCCTGTCAGCAAATTCTGACGTCTCTGACGCTGAATGTCAGCAAATTTACATAACAGAAAGCGTAGACAATACCTAGGATTTGAACCCATGACCTACGCCGGGGCTGAAACCAACGGCTTAACAACTGCACCACCGAGTCAGCAACGTCGACCTGCACAGCGATTGCAGACTCCCGACGATTCGCGCTCATTTTAAAGATTTGACAAAACGGTTCTTCGATAGAGCCCAGCATCATCCCAACCCTCTGGTGGTAAGCGCAGCAAACTACCTACCGGACACTAACGCGAACGTTAACAAGCGTCGCCCGTGAAACGTCCTCATCGACCCGGTCGACGAAGAGGACTTAGACACGATGGACCCACCGCCGGGGGGTCCCGCCGGATAACACTACACCCACAGTTAGTGTAACAACAATCACACCAGTTCGCCCTCGCCTCCGAGCACGGCGAGACCCACACAACGCGTACACAAGGTACACCCGCGTTCCGGGGCGGTTCTCACCGCTCCCAGCCACCGATTAGCTAAATGCACAGTCGACGGCCGTCGGGGTCTCGGTCCGAACCGGCGACCTCGACGGCCCTTAGATGACACACCATAGTAGTTAAACGCACGCATGAGCACATGCGCGACCCTACCCATAGCGGAGGGTTCAAACCCGTGGGTTCTGGCTAGCCCACCGGTTCTGCGT